CTGTACAAAGAGTTAGTGATTTGTCGGAATACTAATCAAACAAAGCTTAGGTTGGTACTGCTACCCAGCAGGCCAGGAACCCATGTTGAACACTTTTGTAGAATAGCTATGCTCTGTTTTTCTCTGCAAATTAATATGCACAATTAAACTTAAACACAAAAAGAAATGTGTAGCAGAAACCTTGATGCCCCACTTACATCTCTTCTGCACTCATTTGTACAAAGTAAATGTGCTTATTAAAACACCTGTTCTTTTTCTGGCTTCAGAAGTATGCTAAGCTAAGTTCAGAACAAGCCAGAAGGGTCAGAAATGCTTCTGGAAGCTTCCCTTAACCAATGATGGATAGGGACCAGCTTTCTCACCCCTCCAGTGATGTATTCTGAACCCACTTACTTATTCATTGATTTCCCCCCAATAGCATTACACCTCAGTTGCCTGCTGCAGTAACCTGCAGAAAGACACTTCCCTGGCTTCCTTCTCTTTCCTCTCTCATGTTCCCCCATTCCCTGCTGGTGCTTCCAGGAATCAACTACCAAATAACTTAACTGCACTCAAATCCTCATCTCAAGTTCTGCTTCTCAGGTAATTCATCCTAACACAAAATTCAAATCTATTAGACAATGAAAATTATAACAATAATGTGGACGTTTGTTCCCAAATTCTATTCCACAGTAATCATACTTAAATTACCTGGAAATTTATTTGTCCTTTCCAAAGGCAAAGTATACACAAGCTTTTCTTTGTTTCCTGTTTTTAATTTAGCATCAGGGATGTGATGATTAATGAAGGATCTTATTTGCTCTGGATCACATATTTCATTCCTATACAAGCTAATATTTAAAAGAAAAGACAAGTCACATGTATTTTCTCCATTGCTGCCACAAAAGAAGAACTTCTATTGAATATCTAGCCTTTGAACACTACCTTACTCGGCTTTACGGGATAAACAAAATGAGTAAACAATAATAATAATCATCATCCATCAATTTGCAAATCTTATGATCTATACATAGAAGATGTATAAACTCAGAACTACAAACATACGAACAAATACATAATTTAATTGAAACTATATTGTATATTGACAAAATTAAAAAAATAAAATAAAATAAAAACATGAAAAAAAAAANAAAAAAAAAAGAAAAAGAAACTATATACCAAGTATGACAGTAAACAGAGGGAGGTAAGAGCATTAGGCAGAAGAGACTTCCTAGGAAAAATAATTATTATACCAGATCACGTAGCTATCAGAAATTAGTGACTACTAAATAAATCTGGCCCACATCCATGTGTTGTTTGCTCATAGGGTTTATTATTTATTTTCCCTCTTTTAGCCTAGACATATACTTTCTTGTAAGACACACATCTTACCACTCTGCCAGATTTACTCTCTGTTGATACTGGCTTCTGAAATTATTTGCCTTTGTGTCTTACGGAAGAATGAAAAGATATTACAGAATTATATGGATCAGCTGAGGAAAATGAAGTTTGGAAAGAAGGTAGAGGTTTAGGCTGCACAGAACAGCTACCTGGAAAAGTGGTACCTGAAGTAGTAAGGAACAGTCAGCCTTGGTTTATAACGTTGAAATTTTGCCCATCATTAACACTAATAAAGATACAAGGAAGCAGTAAAATAGGAAAAGTATTCAGAAAAGACTGATCAATCTGGTCTGGCAGAGATGATGCATAAGGCTAATTCTATTTCATAACTGTCCATCTTTTTGATATCACAGTATTGAAAACATATATATATATCCAGTCTATTCCAAAGTCTTTACCTTAAGTGATATCCAAGACCCCATTTTCTCTTCAAAAAGATGGAAGAGCCTGCACACTTCAATTCCCCATTGGACATGAACACTTTTCTATCTGAGTAAAAAGAACCATGTGAGAAAGGATATTAGGAGTCATTTCTTCTATCTACAAAATACTCGAGGAGCCAAAGCTCGGAATTCCAAAGGAAAAGCATTGTATTGGGTGTAACTATATCTATTGTAAATTTTAAAATTTGAAACACACACTAATGATCTCATGAATGCCAGTCTATTTCAGCACGCTCTAATACTCACTCCTGAAAAAACCCCATAAATTACATGGATATATTCTTACTCTGGGTGCTAAAGAATGAGTGACTATTTTTTCCACCAAATACATATGAAAAAAGATTTTGCTGCTTAAATTAACTGATAATTGGTTTGAAAATAACTAACCACAATTTTTCATTAGTGGTCATGACCTAGCAAATGTACGACCA